ACTGTTCCAGTTTTGTGAAAGTTTAGCTGCAGAGAATGTGAACTGTGAGAACAGTTTTGAGATTTAAAAAAATATTCGTTTCTGCCTTCAGAAAATTAAGACTTTCTGTTGGCCTCGTCCTCAATTTTAATCATCATAAGAATTAGCTTGATAATCTGTGTGCGTGTGCCATTCTTTTTATTCAGCCAGCCAAAGAGATTCCTATTCATTTAAATTTTCATTTTCTTTTATTAAATGGAGTTTCTCTTATTTTTTCATTTTAATACAGTTTATTTCTTCCACCCTTAATCTCTTATCAACACGTTATTCTTCAAGACATTTTTTGTTCAACTTAGGGCATAATGGTGGGTAAAACAAAATACGCGTCCTAATGAATGAATGTTTACTTTAAAATTCTTACCAATGCTATAAGTGTAGCTACAAGTTTGGCTGCCAATTTTGATTTCATTCCTTTAAGTCGCACGCTCAATCGTTTATTGGCCACACTTTTTGTCACACCCAAGGTATTTTTGATTAGATATATAATGAATTTATGTCAATACACAACAACAAACCACAGCAATTAAGAAAGTGACACTATAGTAACCGACATTATTTTTAGGATCGCAACCCTATTATTCGGAACAGACCTTTACTTTACAGAACAAACCAGATCCTTTAAAATATATGGTGGTAATTTTCCTCTCTTTAAAAATGTTAATAACTTCCTTTATTGTAACGCCATGGAATCTAGATTAACAGTTTCTTGTCATCTCCCACATGCAGTCGGTACAACCGTATCAAGCATCATTATTTACGCTAACTGACAATCTAGTTTACTTAGCTTAGCCAATACTTGTGTATCTGCACGTCCTTTCACCCTATAATTTTGGTGCTCTAAATCAGCCGTTTTTAACTCGAATGACAAAAAAACTATCCAATTTTAATATCCACTATCCACTCTTAGGTGAAGCTGTAGTAAAAATAACAGCCCAGTAGCTCACGTGATTTTTTTGAGTAGGCGTGCGCAAATATTTTGGTCAAACTGAGCGATTTTTTGTTGGATAACTTTGCACGTGCGGCTTATATTTAGTCAATTTGACACATTGTAGGTTGCAGCGATCTCTCAATGTACCAATTTTGAAAAAAAAAATCTATAAAAGTTGAGTTTCCATTCTTTCGGTGCGAAGAAAAACAAAGGAAAAAAGTTCAATCAAAATTGGAGATTTTATAGCTCGTGTATTTTTTATTGGATTGCCTTCAAATTTGATATGTGAAGGAAGGGTCCTGTAGTGCACATCCACTGAAAATATGTTACAGTTTGTATTTCTCCAGTCCGAGCTACAGAAAGTGGAAAATCGCTAAAATACCACTCCTGTTAAAAGCACACACTGTGTCCTGTAGATTTTTCATACCTCATTGGAAAAAAAAAAGAAAAAGTGAATATTTTCTAAAAAAAACTTTTTTTCTGGGAATTGCTGCACGGAAAAAGTGTTCGGATTGTGCTCTTCAGTCATACGCAACTCATTGCATCAAGATGATTCAATGTACAGAGCTCAAACTATTAATAAATGTTTCTGATATAAAAAATGTAATGTTTTTATATATTAAAAGTTGTATCGTTTATTGAAAAAATAAGTATTTTTTAAAAACTCCAGTTTCTCAGTACTATATTTAAACATTACATCAATAAAGATATAATCAAACCCTCACGTACAGTCCTAGTGAAAGTCGTGTTCTTGTTGTGAGGAGAGTACTTTTATTTAAAATTGTGTTCTATTACAAAGAAATGGTTGTTGCACATACTGCAGTTATTTTTCTAATTGTCTGAATCTTGAATAACCAAAGTATAAATTTTTTATGGAATTTTGTTTGTGGTGCCATTAATAGAAGTCGCAGGAGTTTCGGTTACATAAATAGATACTGATATATATATATATACGCTACGTCCATTATAGTAAGATTTTCATTAATAAAAATATATTAAACCGTTTAATTTTTCATTATTGCACTATTAATGCCACCCTAATCGCTTGCCTCCCGCTCCACCCAAAGAGATAACTTGTGTCCCTCTTGGGAGGGGGGGGGGGCACACTTTGGTTGAGAGAAACATCCATTAACATAACCTTGAGATAAGCCAGGAATACGACCTTTTATTCTGGAGAACACTATTATTTTCAGTAACATTGTGTTAGGCCAGGGAGAACTGCTTTATGTTGTAAGCCTTGTACTATGTTGGAGAATACCATTTCTTATGTCTTGTTGAATTTATTGTTTTCATTTTGTCTCGTTGTTCGATATACTATAACGCCTGTTTGTTTTGTTTTAGTCAAAAGCTACACAATGGTCTACCTGCGCTCTGTCCACGCGGGAATCAAGTCTTGGATTTTAATGTTGTAAGTCCGTAAACTTACCGCTGACCCACCGAAAGACACCGTAACGTTTTTAATTACTCTATACAGAACCAGATAATCATTACATGCAACAATAATTGTGAAAACATTTTGTTTTTATTGGACATCATAAACGAAAAACCTGAAACAAGCTTCCCAATTACAGTACTTGCATAAATATCCTAACTTTGAATTTAAAAACGGACGTTACGGCAATTATTTACTTCTGAAAAAATCTTAAAACTTTCAACTATCCCTTTAATTACAAAACACAAATAAAAGGTACCCAAGATTAACAATGCATACAAGTAAATCAGCTTAACACGCTGGTTAGAAAAACTGTGATTCTGTAGCATAAACATCAGGAGCCATTTTTATCCTGCAGGAAAATGATCCCAGAGGTAGACAGGGGAAAATGTGAGTCTAGAATCTCCGGAACCAATTTATTCCAGGGAAAGTATTCCCTTAAGTCTACTTTAGAGGGGAAAATCTGGCTTCAGAGGTGCTTTTAACTAGAGGAGACACACTATAAAAATATCTATTTGTATACATGTTTGTAATTTCTATTTTATACATAGCAGTTAACAATAAATTTAAAAACAAAAAAACGTATGTAATTCAAACGAACATGTAGAGGTATTTTTGCAAGTAAAGTATTATGTTTATAATCGAACACAATACATTTTTAATATTTTGATAATATATATACATGAAGTTCACTACCCGAGTAATACTGTAGGTCTAATTATGCTAAACATGTTACATAGTATTTGTATCTGCTGTGTTGTATTTTCATAAAAACAAAGTATACGGATTTATTTACCCTCGAGTGAAATGTCTTTCTTTTTTGCTTATCTAATTGTATGTACATTTCCTGCATGGAACAACTTTCTAAACAGAGATAAGTGCTTTTAATATGCTTATAACACGGTTCCTAAACCTTTCACTAAATTAACTATTGGATTTAACCTGTTTTGTTTGTACTTACGTTCTTGCCGAAATGTACTTGGAAAGTTCGGTATATAAGCACAGGAAATTTCGAAGCAAAGACTGCAAATTGTTCAAAATGCTTTTGTCTGTTAGATGTTGCAACTTTTACTAGATCACGTCCACTGCTTCACCTTTAAAGCCCCACTGGATGGAGTCATCTAAAAGTAATCTATCCCTCGAGAATGACTCAATACACCAGATAAGCATGGATGAAACTTTGATCGAAAGAAAAAATTCTTTGTGTAGTTTAAAATCTTTGGCTCTAAAACAGTAATGGTTAGAGTGGTGTTCACTGTTTCGGAATGAACAATACTAATACTGTCTACGAATCAGTTAATTTCCCACCATTTTTAAGGAATGAGTTGTATTAATTACAGGTCACGTGAGAGTGTTTCATTAATGTGAAATATTACAGTTAACAGTTGTACTCAATAAAAATAATAGCACAGTTAATCTACCTGAAAATTCCTTTAGGGGAGATAACAGCTAATGCTTATAATTTTTTCATGGATGTTAACAAATCGTGAAACAGTTGAAATTCACATCTTTTTTTTTTTCACAGCTGTTAATAATTTCGAAACACTTCACATCTTTTTGTAGCAGGTGTTAAAAATCAAGAAACAGATGAGCTTTTTTTTCCCAACTGTTAAAAAATTTCGAAACACTTCTTCACATCTTTTTGTAGCAGGCGTTAAAAATCAAGAAACAGTTGAGCTTTTTTTTTCACAGCTGTTAAAAAACAGAAAAGCAGTTGAGCTCACACCCTTTTCTCAAGGTTATTAACACATCAAGGAACAGCCGAGATGCAGACTTTTTGACACACAAAATAGAGTGAAAGAAGACATATGAAGAGGTTAAACTTAGCATGTTTTGTTTCAGGTACTAATAGTATCAAATTAAGTTTTGTATTTTTTTTTCTCTGAAATGGTTGAGCTTTGCATTAAACTTCTCAAACGTCAACACATTATGAAACAGGTAATCTTAATGTTTTGTGTGAAACAGTTAAATTTCGCATTACGATATTATGTGTTAACAAATCACGAAATATCTAAGTTATCTTTATTTTTAGAATTATCTACAAATTTGGATGCAATTACTTCCAAAATGTGGAACAATTAAACTTTGTATTCTATGTGTCAATTATTAAGAAAACATGAAACAGTTGAGTGTCGCATCTTTTGTTTCGGTTTCTACAAAATGGGGTTGTTTTATTATTTCCCTACTTCCTTATTAATAAAAAAATGTTATAGCTTGCATTCGTACAGATATTAGTTGTTGGTTATGAACATTGACAATATCACGTTAATCGGAAATACGTGTTGAATACACATTTTTTTTTGTCTATGATATACAAAGTTCTTTAAATAAATAGCTAGCATAAAGCATCCATTTTATTCGCTAAAAAGTATTTACAAGCTAAATGTCATCAGTATCAGAGGCCTATACAAATTTCATATACTTTTCGCATACTCTATAAAGGTAACTACTTATAATAATTAAACATCAGAGTTATGCTAAGAAAATGAGTTTATTTTATAATTTCTTTACTAATACTTGATTATCAGTATTCAATTTGCGTATCTGTATAACATTATGAAAATTATCTTATCGCATGCCTAATTTTCTAAATTGTTTCAGGAAGAAGAAATGAGACTGAAGTACAGTGGTCGCCACCTAGAAGAAGATAGTTTTCTGTTATCCAGGTGAGAATCAATAAACAATACATAAAATATAGATAGATACCTGTTTTCACCTATTCATATCGTACATTTCTAGTAATAATTTTTCGATCAAGTTATTAAAATTATCAAAGGTTTAAAATACGTCATTTATTACCTATCTGCTTGTTTGTTAATTTCCGGTATAAATTATTTCCGAGGAACTTCGGCGATACAAGTCCCTTCTTGATAAAAATTAGTTTATTCTTTCTTGATATAAACTTTATAATACACTTAACAACTTTTATAATACATGCTATAAATCACAATGATTCACACACTTAACTTACAGTCACTACTGTTCGCTTCTTTAATTATCTATCTCTTCAATCTCGCTGGTTTTTCTCGCCAGGCTTATATACTAAAAAGAGGGCGTCTCTCATGATCATTCGAGAAATTTCACGCACGCTACCAGTGCCAAACGCAACAGCAGCGTCACGTAACTTCCGCTGTCGTAACATATTATTTCAAATTCATTAGTTTATAAGTCCATTCCAGTGCTTGCTATCAGGTATAATTTTATTTCAAAATTAAAATAATTCAAAATATCTTAGTCATTAATATTAAGATGCATATCGATCTAGCTGTCATCAGATTTAGAATTTCTGCAGATTTGATATTCATCAGGTTCAAAAGCCTCACGGCCTGGCATGGCCAGGTGGTTAGGGCGCTCGACTCGCAATCTGCGGGTCGCGGGTTCGAATCCCCGTCACATCAAACATGCTTGCCCTATCAACCGTGGGAGCGTTATAATGTGACGGTCAATCCTACTATTCGTTGGTAAAAGAGTAGCCCAAGAGTTAGCGGTGGGTGGTGATGACTAGCTGCCTAGGGACGGCTAGCGCAGATAGCCCTCGTGTACCTTTGCGCGAAATTCATAAGAAACAAAAGCCTCACTTTACAATAGACATAGTGAGGAGAATGAAAGCTGACGACACATGGACCCCCACAGTTCAGCTGGGGGCCCTAAGCTTTGGCGTAAATGTGTTAATCCGCCCTGGCTAGAAACGTCTCACAGAAACTGCCATTTGTGCTCCCATCCCAGAGCTTAGAGATGACGGACGCCCATGTTGGCCACTTCCCTTCCAAGTGACGCCCTTAATCAGGTTTATAATTATCAAAGATGTCTCAGTCATCAGACTTAAGTTTGATACTTATCGCACTTATAGTGCACCCACAAGTGTTGGTCATCAAGTTAAACTATTCAGATATAGTAGTCACTCTGTTCAAATCCAAGTCATACTCAACGAATTCAGAATTCATCTAGACTGTTACAGTCGTCAGGAATAAGGATTTTATAATTATTACGTTCAGAAATGATTCAACTTTGCTAGTCATAATATTAATGGCCTTCACAGTTTATTATTGTCAGGTTTAGCAATCTTCCAAAATGACGTTTGTCGTTAGTATTAGCTTTCATCCAAACTTCACAATCACAAAGCTTAAAATCCGCCAAAGTATAACTGGGACCAAATTTTAAATTACTACAAATGCGATAATTCTTAGATTTAAAAAATTCAAATTAATTATTTTGACTAATTCGCATAATTTAAACAATAATATAACTAAGTGTTCCGCTTGCAGAAACTGGACAATTATATATCAGCTTACAGAAATTTTTATTCATTCTATGTATTTATATCATCTATTGCTGATGTTGTTTTTATCGTCTGTTTTTTCAGTAGTAAAAAAAAAGAGTCAATACTAAATTCATCACGAAGACAGCATTCGTATATTTATTCACTTTAAACGCGTGCCCCTCAGTAGTACAGCGGTATGTCTGCGGACTTACAACGCTAGAATCCGGGTTTCGATACCCGTGGTGGGCAGAGCACATATAGCTGTGTAGCTTTGTTCTTAATTACAAATAAACACTTTAAACGCTTGTAAATTTAAGTACAAAAGATTGATATTTCCCTGGAATATTATAATTTTTTTTAGAATTCTTCAAACTCTTGCTAATGTAGCAATGTTAGGGTTACTTTCATCATACAATTAATTTCATAAACTTGTGTATATAGCCATGAATGTTAAATTGATATGTATTACAGGACACATGTAAGCAATAATATAAGAAACGGACAGAATTCCAGATACTCATACTCACCTTTAAGATATCTGCGTCGTTTCTATTGTAATAAACATCGTTTCCAACAATTCTGGTATCATCGTCGTTTATACATACTTCTTACGTTATTTAATATGTACATAATAATATTGTCTGTCAGATTAATATTTCAGAATATTTTAATTTTTTACATTAGGGTGCAAAATAGGCTAGAATGATGCTGTAAATATACGATTAAAACAGTTAAAAACCATTTCAATGCATGGACATTCTAATGATAGACAAAATAAACTGGTTGGTTCTTTAAGGTGAGATGGTAAACTGTATTTTAGACAATAATTTAAACATATTTTTCTTATCCTAAAGTTCACAGTTGGACACCAAAGGATTACATCGTTCCAGAATAAATTCCAGAATAGCTCCAGTAAACGTTAGGTAAGTCTAAGGTAGAAAAAAAAACCATTAAGATGAAGGGTTTTTTTTCAAAACAATATGTCATGAATTGTGTGAAGGGTCCGGTACACAAAATCATTCTTACACCTCTTTACTTGACTTCAATTATTAACTTGTTATTGTCTTTGTTTTTACAGTGTCACCAGGGTTGTTGTGCACGTGTGGGGTCTAGTACATAGCGTTCGATAGTAGGTCTTTTTTGTTCTACAGCAATTGAAATGTTTGGATACGTGTACGTTGGACATTGGGGGTGGGGGAAATTAGTGTAGGCGAACAATCAAAAGACCAGCTGAGTTATAGAATAGAAATAATTGTGAAATATAAACAACTTTATCCATTAAAATGTTTAAAAGATAACTACTAGTCAAAGTATTGCCCACTGTGAAACATTCTACTTCGAAAGTTCATTGTGGAATACGATCATTCTGAGTTCTGTAACCGTTCTGTTGTAATTTCATTGATTTATCTTCTCAAGCTGCCTTAAACTGCAAAGTGATTAACGTTTACAAATAATGTTGAAATAATAAATAGTTTTAAGTTACAGTAGATTTCACAGTGCATCGAAAGAAACATTCAGTTTATTAGACTTCAAAAATGTCACTTAAAGTTACTACTAGTGATTGTATATTTATTGTGTATAATTGTTAACACTTTAATTGAAACTTGCCCAATAAGACTTTCATCAGAGGCAATTAAAGATCAGGCATTTCTTTCAATACCACATCGTTCATCAGACCAGCTGGATTACAACAATTGATTTATATATAAATGCTATTTAAAGAAATCAGTCTCCCGGCGGGACAGCGGTAATTCTTCGGATTTACAACGCTAAAATGAGGGGTTCGATTTCGCTCGGTGGACACATGGGGCAGTTAAAAATAAAGTATTGAAATATGAGTAATAACTAATTTCAATCTATTGTTCTAAAGTAAGACTTGTATTTTGAAGACTTTATTGTTATTTCATTACTTTCTTTTCACTGGTTGTTACTTTTATCCGTTATATATTTCAGGATACAACGTGGTTGGCATAGTCTTCAACTCACTGAAAACAAGCGCCACCTGGTGAATTTCAAAAATAGTCTGAAAGTTGGATACCACCCCAGCCTCATTTCACCTTTAGAAAATGGAAGCGATCGTGCAACGTCTTTGTCATCTCCCGAAATTATTTATCGAAATAACAATGTTGAAGATGAGAGCTTTTCAGAGTCAGATCAAGATTGCAACGAGATCAATCTCCATATTCAAACGCTAACTTTACAGGAAAATTCTGAAGTCAACGGAGAAATCGAAATAAGTGATGATTGTAACAATAATACTAAGAGTGCCAACAGTTTCATTTCTAAACCAATAGAAGACCCAGATAGCGAAGACTCGCTCTTTTCTAATATATTGGATTCATCTCAAGATTATGTGCTGGACCATTTAGAAAACAATAATAATGAAAATTACATTTCCGAAAGTGTAATAAACCCACTGAAAGAACCGATCAAATTAAACGAACAATGTCTTTCAGAAAAATCATTACGAAAATTTCATAGCCTTTCATATGATGAAGTGACTCAAGAAGAGAGAGTTTGCTCAGTTTCGAGCGTGGAACAGGAACGTTGTAAGAAGTACAACTGTGCCAACTCTGATTCCGGAAGTTCACACTTTGCGGATAAAACTTCTATGAGTGAAACAAGACCGTATTCTGATTTTGATATCAACATGGCAACAGAAACGTTAAATAATTTCTCAATGGCAACAAGTAAACACTGCGATATTCAGTGTTTGTTCAGCAATCGAGAAGAAATACAAAATGTGAACATTCGACAAATAGACTCACAATCAGCAAGTTTGGACGAACCAAAGATTTTAAATACAGCCTCAACCCTTCCCAAAAATATGACCAGTGAATACCAAGAAAGGCTTAAGAACAAAGATAAAATGGAAGTTTCCACTTTACTAGGTTATACAGAAAAATGTGCTTTCGATTCTGTTGAGAAAGAAAGAGAAAAAGGAAAAACTCGAGATGATGTAAACTTCAAACATGGAAGATGTGGTGCAAATGTTGTGATTAATCCTTTCTCGATGGATCATCCTTCAAGATGTAAAGACAATGATGGTGAAAAAGGAGAAAATTGTTTGGGATCTTCTTGTGAAAATTGTGAAGAAATTCTAAAAATGACTGAGTCTATTCCTGAAAAATTGGAAAAAACAATTGAAAAAACACATGAACTTGCAAAGACTCGTATGTGTTCTGAAAAGAGAGCGGAACTCTTCGTGCCGGGCATAGAGATGGGGTTAGAGTCCATAAATGTTTCTACCATAAATTCCTTGCAGTGGCAACAATCGGATGAACGAAATGCTATTTCATCATCTGGATATGATATGATACAAAGAGAAAACTCTTTTTTAAGGAATGCTGAAGAGCAAAAATGCATGCTTTCTGATAACAACTTAAATAACAACAGTATTACGAATAACGCCGTATTCAAGAGCGTGGCGGAAAAAGTTATGTTACCTTCTCCTTTCTTGTCTGACTCAGAAAAACGAACAAGTTTATTGGCGGGAAAAAACACAAGTAAATCTATACATTCACAGAGAGATAATTGTAGTTCTTCATTAGAAGGTTTTGGAAATTTTGAGTTCTACAACATTGAGACTACAATGCCAAACATTGATTGGGATGCAATGGAGGCCCATTTCATTCGAGCCGCCGAGGAACCGAACTGGTTTTCACAGGTATGTGTGGGTTTATTGTTATTTTTATAAAATTATAAACGCTCAAAACTTGCATGCACAAATTTGATTCATTTGATTGAGTTAATTAGTTGTATAATACTGTACTCTGGGAGCAATAATGTAAAATATGCCAAGCATAATGTCAGATATTTTATCGATTATCTATCGGTGTTGCTTCAGAACGGTTTATATATTCTAAAGCAACTTGTAATTTATACAAAACGAGGTCTTTTTGTATATTTTACAATCATCTTTTGAGAATGTAAGGCTACTAACGTATACATAAAAAAGTATCTATAGAATTTTAAACAATCCACCTGTTGTAAGAAAGTTGGATATCCCGTTTAAAAATAAATTATTTATTTATGTAAAATATGTAAAATGTTTTTTTAATCATGACTTAAATATGATTATTCATCAAGACAGATATATATATATCAGCTAATGCTATGCAATACATTAATTCTTTATATGCGATTAAAATCGGTGCTATAAAACAATAATGAACTGAACTTAATACAAAACAAAAACAATATAATGAAACTAAAATTCTAACTTATTCCTCCATTACCATTCCTTGTTGTCATCTTTAATTCATAATAGTTAATGCCTGTGGACATAGCACCCAAATGCGTTGGGGATAATTCATCTATCAGACAAAATCCCGACGCCAATGTCAAACTCGCTAGCAATTAAGGAGAAACAGTTAATTAACGGATGGGAGTCGAGTGCGTGAACCCACAACGTCTCAACTCCAACTTCCTTTCGCTGTGTGGAGTCAGTTGTGGAAAGACAATTACCTTTAATATATAGAAATAATCTTAACGTATAATTAAACCACTCTAAAAATTCTACAATGTAAAACAATTCTCTTTAGTTGCCGGGCCCGGCATGGCCAGGTGGTTAGGGCGCTCGAATCGTAATCTGAGGGTCGCGGGTTCGAATCCTCGTCACACCAAACATGCTCGCCCTTTCAGCCGTGGGGGCGTTATTGTGTGACGGTCAATCCCACTATTTGTTGGTAAAAGAGTAGCCCAAGAGTTGGCGGTGGGTGGTGATGACTAGCTGCCTTCCCTCTAGTTTTACATTGCTAAATTAGGGACGGCTAGCGCAGATAGCCCTCGTGTAGCTTTACGCGAAATTCAAAACAAACAAACCAAACTTTAGTTGCTAGCGAGTTTAAGCCTTAAAATTATTTATTTATTTTAAAATTCCTTTTCAATTTTCCCGTCATAACCTTAGTCATAACGGAAATTGTCTGTGGTGATAGCACCGAAAAGCGCTGGGGATATCCCATCTATCAGACAAAATTCAAACGCAAATGAAAAACTAGTTAGCAGTCATAGAAAATCAAACAAGGGTGCGGAGTTGAGTGTTTACACCCACAACGTCTCAACTCCTACTGCCTTTCACTATCTGCAGCCAGTTGTGGGAAGGCAGTTACCCTTAAAATTTCTTAAATTATAAATGAATTGAAATAAAGCCACCTTAATATTTCTACTAATTAAACTCCCAACCTCCACCTTTACAAAATATATTAAATATAACTATAAAATAGTGAATATCACTAAGTTCTTCTAATATTAAAAGTAGAAAAAATAATAAGACCACTCTAAAAATATTTGTACTGAAAGTTCCTCCCAACCTCCGCCCTTAAAATTTCTAATAGTTCCTAAAGTAGAAGAATAAAAATAAAATCTTTCTAAAAATTCTACAATAGATTACTCCCAACCTCCACCCTTTTCTAAAAAGATGACAAAAGCATTCAATAAAATGAACTACATAATCTACCTCCACTTTCTATGTTGTTCATATTCTCTTGTAAAATTATTCAAGTAAAACACGGGATAGCTGAGACCAGACCAGCTACTTGAAGTTCATCTTTCCAGTCCCTGCTATACTGAATAAATTTTAATTTTGGTATTAACTAATTAGAGGTAGGTAAATGTAATTTGTACATTACAAATAAAAAAAATTAGTAATTATTTAAGACAGTTTTCATATTCCATAACAATCTGCTGATACAAGTTTCTAGAGTATCGAATACAGTAATTAGATCTCGTGTTAGTTTAATTATTGGTATTGTTCAAAGTAATTGACACTCGCTCGTGTTATAACAAAACAATGAACATCATCCTTAACTGGCCTAGCATCAGGTTACAGTAAGAAATGTACAATACTATTTCAACTACACCCTGTCTGTTGTGCGCCGGTACTTACACCAGAGCTGATTAGGTTGAATGGATTATATTATGCGAAGTCTTATTTGAGACGTCATTTATATCAACTGTTTAATTAAACAAGAAAAGTCTTGAGATGTAGAACGTTTCAGCCAGCGAAGCATAACACGATACAATACCACAGTAAGATTGGTAATAATTCAAATCACGCCATTCGTTATTGAACTAATATGGGTTTTTAACACAAAGTGTGGAAATGTGTAATAGCATTTCAACTATACTCTCTCTCTCTGTTGTACTCTCGCTAAAAACCGTATTACACGAGTAACGAATGATGTGAACTAAATTAAGTCTTAGCGTGATATTATATCATATAGATATTCCTACTAAATGTCACGCTCCACCAGCTAAAGCGTTGTACACCTTAAAATACAATGAACATTTTATTACACACAACGTTCAAGATGCAACAGATTATGAATAAACATTGCATTTACTGGACAAGAGGGCTCGGCTAACTTAATGGCCATCAAAATGTTACAGCTTATTAGATCGTCAAATGCAGTACCTAGAGCTTAAGTTATTCATTGATTAAGCAATACGAGTTTTGAAAAAACGCAATGAACATTTTATTACATCGTCAAGATGACGATACAGAGCACAAGACACTCCATATACAATCTCGAAGATACAACAGATCGCGAAGAGCCAAAACGTCACATTAAATTCATTAACACCACACAGAGGAGACCCACAACGGACTAACTTGATTATACTTGAAAGCACACAACAAACCCTCTCCTTCCGCCCCCTTTTTCGTTTTCGATCTCCTACTGTTCACGGTTGAAAAGTGATGTAAATTTGGGTTGTAGAGCAAAGGTCAGAATGCGAGATGATAAGAGCAGCATACACAATTTATAGTTTTAAATTTGCGCTAGAGGGGAGGGCAAGGGAATGGAGTCGGAGCATGATAGTTCTACGATACGATATCCCACTACCTGGGACACGTTTTTCAATAGTTTGTTTAGATGGTATCGAAAAAATAAAAGCAAATAATCCTATAAGAACTACATGAAATTTAACATATAGGCGCCCCCCAGTAGCATAGCGGTATGTCCGCGGACTTACAACGCTAGAAACCGGGTTTCGATACCCGTGGTGGGCAGAGCACAGATAGCCTATTGTGTAGCTTTGTGCATAAATTCAAAACAAACTAACATATACGCACACACTTTAGCGCTCGAAACTTCAAGCTTTTATTAAAAAAAAAAGATTTAAATGATCATTACTGGTTTACTTCCAGAATAAGAGAAACTTTTTAATAGTTTGAGTCATGTATAAATAAAGTATACAATTCTGTTTATAATGTCTTTCTTGAAATCACAGTGTACACGTCCAAAATTGAAGAGACCACTGACTTCATCAGCTCCACTTGAACTTAGTTTACGTTTAGTAAAATACGACTTTGGTGAAAATAATTATCACTCATGACGTCATTGTCCTTAGACTATGGTCAGTGTCAGTGCAGGGTAAAGATTTGAATGACAGAATTGTGTAGTTGTTGGAAGAAGAACAACATATGTTGAGACAACACCGGATATAACTTCAGACAGAAGTCATACGTAATAAATTTTGCTACTCAGTATTTGGTCTTATTATAAACATTGTGTAAACATTCGATAAGCAATATAAAGGGAGAAGATCCGGTCTCAGTTCAGTAGAGAAGCTAGTGTGGAAAAGTTGTTAGTCGTGCTTGTTACTTCGAATAATTTATTTCAGTCTTTTTGGAGTTTAGAAAGAAAAGTTACCTCTAGAAACAACATTTCGATGGAAAAGTTTACATATAATGTTCGCCAGAAATGTATTTAGTTCTGGACTGACACCAAAAATTATACTGAAAGTATTTCCCGTTTGCTTCGATAATACGATAAAACTCTTGAACCGCGATGAAAACGTTTTCCTGATCTCGTGCCTAAACTACGTGGTATAAAAGAGTTTATATGAGCTTCTATAAAACGAATACGGAGAATTACAACTAACGAAGTCTAATCTGAAGGCGGTAAAATATTTATTTATGTTAGTAGTCGGTTAGTGTGAAGCATGAAACAGCGAATACAGATAATTGACTGGAAACGAATTAAGGTTGTGAGACACTTTGAATATGAACGTTTTATGTGATTACATAATAACTTGAAAGTGTCAGTTGAGTATATTATTTCTAACAGATTACTGTTTGCATTTTATGGTCTCATAAGTTCATCTCCAGACGGCAGATTTCTGTAACGAGTGAAAAACAGGCACAGTATTAACGTTTTTTTTTCTGTTTCACAATCAGCACTTTAGAGCTTAGCCTGACATATTTCTTTTGTTTCACAATCAGCACTTTAGAGCTTAGCCTGACGTTTTTTGTTGTTGTCGGTTTTTTTTCTGTTTCAAAATCAGCACTTTGGAGCTTAGCCTGCCTTTTTTTCTATTTTACAATCAATCACGTTGATGTCTTCATTGTGATGTAATCTCTGAAACCCTGGACTTTATTTTGAACACAAAAAACATTTTTATGCAGCATAAACACTCATCGAAAGAAATGTGAATCGTATTCCTTTAGTGAGGTGTTGATATTTGGACTTAATTCCGTAGTCTGAATAACTGGTATATGTTTCCTGTTATATGTGTTTGCTATAATGAGGAATGAAACAAAGTGTCGTTATGCGTTCACTAATGACTACATTGCTATTATCTACCAAATTTGTTACGATTTGGACGTTGAGGTAAGTTAGAATAGAAAATCTAATTCATTTAAAAAAAATTGAACTTTGTGAG